AACGCTGATTTCACTTAAAAAGGCACATCAGACCAGGTTGGCATTAGTGATGGACCCCACAGTAGGCAAACTTAACCAGACCACCAGCAGCGACACCAAAGTCTTCCCATCAATAGCGATGGCTTCGGCTAGCGACGAAAACGGAGACTAACTCTCAACTAATCTGTGGATGTTTATCCCACGAGTTAATATCACTCGACTATATATATATATATATGTTGATTTTCTCCACATATCTATCCCGACTACTACCTTGTGTCACACCGTGAATGAAATCTCACTCTCCCACTCAAACTTATATACGATACACCAGAACGAGTAAAAGATCGAACTTTGTAGATCAGGGGAAATAAACATTATTTCACTTATCCCAACCACGTTGTCTTGTCAGGTTTACCATATCACGTTCAAACATTGGTTCCCGTATGATCATTGAAGTTAAGCAACATCGAGTCCTAAATGGATATACCACGTGCTGTAAGCTTGGATGGGCAGGTGGTGTAATGGATAAGTACTCGGAATTGTTAATCAGAGAGCAGTTTCAATCCTAGTTGGGCGCATTATATTCACTTACGCGCAAATATCCTTGGAAAAGATATGAATCCACATCTTCTCCCTCCAGTTATCGGTTAATTGGTAGGTATTTTTAGAATGAAAGCATTTTATTGAGATAGTAATAATTTAGCTGTTGAAGAAGAGGTTGCTCCATGTCTTTCCCAACGATAATATGTGAATATATCTCTTCTTCCCCCAGCTATGGGTTAAATAATAAGACTTCTATCACTAAATTATTATTCTTTTTTCAAAACTGCTTACAATCTAAAAATACTTACTGGCTTTCAAAAACATACAAAAGGGTTGATAAGCCGTAACAAACAAATCAAACTATCAATTTGTCTTGTTTTCTCCACTTGTTCTTGTTAAAGCTTAGGACGCCATTAGAAACTCCTAACATGGAAACTGGTACTCAGAAAGAGATATTTGATATTGCTGAGGCACATAATGAAGGATGAGGGCATCGAGAATTTAATACTCACAATCAGTACTGAATACAAATGATGCCAAGGGAAAAGGCAAATAACCTAACTAACGTATTCGTGTGAATAGATGACAAAATAAAGATAATGATGGTAAAAAGCTATAGTTATAGTTATAGAGAGTCACAATTATCCTTCTTCTAGATTAGCAAAGCAACCCAAATCCCCCTCCGCAAAAAAAATACTTGCTATGAAATCTAAAACAGCGATACCTATCGTGGTGAAGCTATGGCTCTATATTCCATAGTTTAATCTAGTATTACTAAGGAGAAAGTTAGTTGGTTGATTTTGTTTATCGGAATAACTTTTATGGGTCATTTAATGCTGAAATCTAAATAATTTGAACACAATTTTATGACTTCAATTACAGATAAGATGTATTGTTGGTAATTTTACTATAAATAGGTATTGTTAGCTATTTTTATATAAAATTGTATTGCTGGTATTTTTACTATAAAATGTATTTTTATACATTCAAAGTTCTTATATATGAATAAAGTGTCGCTGCTGACTCTTGAGTTTGAACATAGATCACCAGTAAGCAAACACAGGCAATCCTATTATTGAAATAAGTAGACCACGTGACCATAGAGGAAACGCATATATAAACGCTGACGAATAACGATGGTTATCTCTACTCTACTCTCTATTACTATTCGCATCACCATTTCTACTCTATTCTCTATTACTATACGAACCGCTATTCTCTATACAGAGTACTATTAGTGCGGGATTATTCGAAGGCGTCTGACACCAGCATTGTTCAACGGCGTTGCTATAGTTATATCTGCGATTACAAAGGCTCTACTACAACGAGCATTACGAAAGTGACAAAGGAGTGTTCGTTGACATTACAAATGTGTCTGAATTATCAGGAATCGCTTTTCACTAAAACCTTTTTCAGAAACAAAATCGATTAAATTTCTAAAGGGAATAATAATGCGAATATAGAAAAAACATTCATAAATGGGCGTGTTTAAGGGATATTTAGGGCAGAAATAAAAGTAACAAAAGTCTAGAAGAAAAGCGATAAATAAATCGGTGATCTGATTTAAAATTCAAATTGTAAACAGTTATATTGAATTATCTCTAATGCTAGCGAAGGTTTCATTAACCTATTTTATCAATGGTCGCCTTGTTGCCAAAGTGATTGCATTAGACATCAAAAGGCTTTTTGATCAGGTGTTGCAAACTATGTTGATAGATGAAGTTTAAATTGTGGTATATCTGAAAGCGTTTCCACGCTCATCAAGTTCTTTCTTTCAGGTAAGCGTTATTAGAGAATTTATTGTGAAGATTTTTTGAGTCCGGACAGCAGAGTTCTAATTCCAGTCGGGTTTGTTATATTCATTTCCGCGCAAAAACGCTTGGGAAAGTTGCTAATCTACGTCTTCTCCCGCAGCTATGGATTGATTATTAGGACTTGTATCAGTAAATCATTCTTTCTTTCTTTTTATGTGCCATGTCCTTTCAGGACGTAGGCGATCATGGCTCTCCACCTCCCTCTATCCCTTGCAGTTTTCAACAAGTCCCTTCCTTCTGCTTCCTCCCCCACACCACGTTCTATCATCCACTTGCTTAAGTCCGCCAGAGTTGTTACACGTCGTTTTCCCTTGTCTCTCTTTCCCTCTATTCGACCCATGAGTATCAGATTCTCCAGGCCCTCCTTCCTCATTATGTGTCCCAGAAACTTCAGCTGCCTCTTCTTGATATTAAGTATAATCCTCCTCCTTGTTTACAACCTCTCTAAGCTCTAATCGTTGCTCACACGCTCGGTCCATGATATCCTTAGCATCATTCTATAGAACCACATCTCTTCTTCATCTTTGAGGAAATCGTCCAACAATCTCTGCCGTAAAGGACAGAGGTCACGTAGCAGTTCAGTAATCTTTTCTTTGTTTCCAAAGATATCCTCTGCCCAGCTTTTGGAAGGTGTTCTTGGCCATCCCAATACGTCTACAGATCTCAGTGTCGCACTTACCGTCCTCTGTCAAGACGTTTCCCAGATATTTAAACTTCCACGTCTGCTTGATTCTAGTGTTCCCGACGTTCAAATCACATTTTCGGCTCTTCCTCTTACTGATGACAATGCATTCTGTCTTCTTGTAGTTTATGTTTAGTCCTTAATTCTCACTCTCCGTCGCTCATGGTTAACAACTCAGTAAATCATTATCATCTCCAGAAGAATTCCTGCAATCAAAAAATATATTCTGGCTGTAAATAACCTGCAAAAGGTTGATGAACCGTAAAAAACAAATCAATCAATGGTCCAGATATCAAATAACAGTTCAGTACACTTTTCTTAGTTTCCAGTTTATACTAGAAAATACAGAAATCATAGACATCCAGCTGCTAGTGTGTTGTTATCTTGTAGACGTCTGTCTTGCTCTAATCTCTTACAATGAACGGTTTGTCCGTTGTAACAGACAAGAGCAAGTCGATGGTTTTCGAGTTGTTTGTTCACTGTGGTGAAAGTGAAAAGAAAAGAACATAAACAACTCTGTAATTTTGTTCACTTAGTTTACATTTTAAACAGAGACTTTTGTTGGAAATGGATTTATATATTTGGAACAATATAAAACTTTCAGTTATTTGTTTGGATAAGTCTTGTTCTTATGTACATCCTCTTTGTCATGTTGTATTGATAATGTTATAATTTATGAATATGTCCTGAAGATGGTTTATTAGACCGAAACGTCCGACGTTGACATATTAACATTAAAACAGCATAATTGTATATAAGGATTTTTGTTTGTTTTTTCCGTTTATATTTTTCTTCATATTTATATATATATATAAAGTCATCCACAGACAGACAGATTCGCTGTGTCAGAGCTCATCAGTGAGGCTAAACATCCGATTGCTTCAAGCCGGGATCGAATACCGACCGACTTGGGACCAATCTGGAATTCTAACCCCAAGCTATCGTCACACGGCAATGAGTAATACATTCGGTTATAATTTATTTTATGAATATACGAATATGTTTAGTACTTAAAGAAAAGTTATACCCTTTCTCTATTCTCCTACCATTTTTTTAAACCTTATATTGAAATTTTTATGTTTCTTCCTGTTTTAACATTATATTTTTTTTCCTTTTTTCTTTTTCCTCTCCTTTTTCTTTTCGTCTGGATAAATTGGCTCCATTTATTAAAAAAAACTTCGGTCGGAAGAGATGAATATTGGTATATTCATGAAATAAATTATAATCGAATAGATTTTTAAGGATCGTCTGTTTCCATTATTATATTGCTCTGTTACTAACATTGACCTCTCTTTGGATTAAAGTCCTCTTTGAAATTATCCCTACTAATTATTAATTAATTATATATATATATATATATATATATATATATATATATATATATATATATATATATATATCTCTACTTAGCACTTTGAGCACTCCATGTCTTAGCTTTATTACTCGCTTAGGTTTTTTCTTTGGACTAAAAACTTAAGGAACTGGAGGATTTATTTCGTCCTGTTCGGATGTACCTTGTTCTTTTCCAATTTTTTCCTCGTGAAACAATTTGCTTTGATAGACTCACAAGTTGTGCTATCCGAGGTTATTTCTTTCAACCGAGTGTTACTCGTAGTATATATATATATATATATATATATATATATATATATATATATATATATATATCACCGTATATACTTTTCTTCTCTGCAATTTAAATTCTGATATTTAGCTGGTCATATCTAACAAAATTCACGCCGAAGTGCCCAAATGATTTTCTAAGCGTAACTTAGACGTGTCACAAGGCCGAACGTATGACACACCCAGTCACGTCGAAGTCAAGCTTACTACCAATTACATCACGACGATAGTCCTTTCTTGAAGCTATCGATGGTTGATTTCTCACTAAGTCGCAATTTATCGCTACCGTTGATTTCAGGATACTGTTCATGTTCAACCACTAATCATGTCAGATTATGAATTATCACCCAGAACACTTACGACCATATCTCTTTGAAACACCGATTCTCGTACGATCACCGAAATTAAGCAAAGTCGAGCCTGGCCAGTACCTCGATGAGTAACCACTTGGGAATTTCAGGTACTGTAAGCTTGGATGTGCGGGTGATGTAGTGGATGGCGGCTCAGAATTTGAAACCGAGTTCTAATTACAGTCGGGTTCGTTATATTTTCTTACGCGCAAATACTCTTGGGAAAGTTAGGAATTCACCTCTTCTCCCCCCACCTATAGGTTAATTAGTTGAACTATCGGTAAATCATTATTATCTCCTCCCACTCAAATTCTTACAATGTAAAAATATGTCCTGTCTTTAAGTTACCTGCAGCTAGTTGATAAGCCGTAATAAACAAATCAAACACAAAAAATGTACCTTCCATAATCCTACCATCCCTGACATTTACGAATATGAACCCCCCTATGTCATGTACACAAGGGCGAATCATCCTGATTCCTTCCATATTTCAGTAGTAAAAAGTAAGTTCCATTCGAACAGATTCGAACTGCTGCTTTGTGGTACTACAATCTTGACCTCTTCAAGTCTAGGGTTAATCGTTATCTTTCCTGCATAGCCCCTTAAACTTCACTTCTTGTTCTTTCGTACGCTCATACAACACCACACAGTAACCGTCTACCTTGAGTGGCTCTTAGGCCTTGTATAGAGTAAACATTAGCATAAAAGTTTCCAGATTTGATAGTAATTAAATCCGTTAACCTTTTGTGGATCAGTTGTTTTTACCTGTTAACCACAAAGTTTAGAACAGTTTTCTTTTTGGCTAGTACTTAGCTCGGGGAGATAGAGCAAAAAAGTTTCAGTCGGACAATTTCTGTTTTAGAATATCTGCTTTGTAGAACAGACTACCGCCAGGATGTTTTCATATTCACTACAATCTTGACCTTTTCAGGTCTAGGGTTAATCGTCATCTTTCCGGCAGAGCCCCATGGACTTCACTTCTTACCTTTTTTTTACGTCCATACAACATCATGCGGTGGGTTACGACCACATCACGTTGAAACACAGCTTCCCCTACGATCACCGAAGTTAGACAACGTCGAGCCTGGTCAGTACATAGATGGGTGACCGCTTGAGAATACCAGGCTTGGATGTGCGAGTGATGTTACTGATAATTGCACAGAAGTCGGAAAGAAATACACCAGAAACCAAAGGAAATAAAACAATAATAATAATAATAATCCCCAGTCCCTTCGTATTCCATTAACGAGAAGTTCCACGCGGACAATTTCTTCCTAAGAGTTGCTACTTTTTGGAACAGACTCTCGACGAGACATTTTCCCAATCACTACAATCTTGACCTCTTCTAGGTCTAGGGTTAATCGTTATCTTTCCTGCATAGCCCCTTAAACTTCACTTCTTGTTCTTTCGTACGCTCATACAACACCACACAGTAACCGTCTACCTTGAGTGGCTCTTAGGCCTTGTATAGAGTAAACATTAGCATAAAAGTTTCCAGATTTGATAGTAATTAAATCAGTTGACCTTTTCTGGATTTGTTATTTTTACCTGTTAACCATAAAGCTTAGAACAATTTTCTTTTGGCTAGTACTTAGCTCGCGCAGATAAAGCAACAAATTATTCTTTTTTATGAGGCCGGCGCCTTTCTTGGCCGCCTACATGTCTTCCGTTACATCGATTATACATATTGGTGCGTTAATCTAGCGGTGAGAAGAGACCAATTTTTCCGTTATTTGTACCTCAGATTTTACTCGTTTTTAGAATTTGTCTTGTAACCTAAGTGGAAGTAAACTGTTTCAAATCAGAAGATTAAATGACAAAAATAAACCAACCACGCAAAGGCGCCGCGCAGCCTTCCAGTTTCAAACATATTTTAAATTTTCAAAATAATAAAATTAAAGAATAGCCAATAAAATAAGCTCCGTCAATAAATAAACATATGCTTCTGAAGCCTACGCGAAGCCATATAAACCAGGTATCTATTCAACTCAGCAGAAAGACTGAAAACGGAATTTCTTAAAACTTGACTCGTGGAATCTTTTCCTAACATACTTATTTTCTTTTTGTTTCTGTTTCTTTCTTTCGTCTTTTCGAAAATTTGAACAATGTTTTTGTTTATTTTTTTATAGCTTGGTCAACATTTTTGGTGATATAAAGAAATAAAAGAAAATTCCTTACTCGCTGTAGATGTTGATCCCAAAACTGTGTCTATTAGTTTTAGTATTAGTAGTTTTTTAGTTTTTTTTTTTTTTTTTGTCTTTCTTCTTTTTTTGGGGGGTGGGGGTTCTTTTAGCTAATTAGCTAATTCCTTGTCACAAACTAAAATTGTAACTCGTCTGTCTTCCAAGCCAGAGAACACAGCCGGGTAAAGACTAAAGACTACAGAAAGCGGAGATGCGTTCTCTCTTTTTTTGTAACCTTAGGCTGCCGCTAGTTACTTCCGAACCCAACTAAATGACGTCACTACCTTAGAAATTTCTGGAAAACATGACACGGAAAGATAATGGGTGTCATGGTTACTATGACAACTTTATTTATTTATTCTTTATTTTTAAACTCATTATATGAACATATACGGTGTCTGCAGAATTGTAATGGTCAGTAATTTTGTCCTGCAGACAAATTCTCAAGAATAATGATTTCAATCGTTTCTCTTGTTGCTGCACTATTGTGGCTTCGCGCTAGCATTAGTTCAGATAAGTCGTTTATTTATACGATGTCCTACTGTGATGAAGTCGTTAGCAAGCTCATTCTGTAGACTATTTTCAAATGGTATGAGCTTGATGTTTTTTTTTATTTCCCCCACACTTGTATAGGCAATATTTATTTATAGTTATTAGGTGAATTATTTTACTGTTTTCATGCTAATATTACTTTCTATCTGTTATCTATCTACGAGGAATGTTTGTAAAATAATGATTCCACTGAAACGACAACCAATAAGAGGGTCTGCATAACAACGCCATTGAATAAAATTGTAGAAGATAAATTATTTATGAAACACAAAAAGTAAAAAGAAACACTTATAGAAATAAAACAAATTTATTTTTTATTTATTCAAAATGCAGTGTTAGTTTGCGCTCAGTTCGTATTAAAAATTCCCAGAATACTTACATTTATATATAACTGTACATGCTCCATTCGAATCTGGCTTCGTAAATATGATAAAATCTATCGTTTTGGAGTTATCGACAGTGAAAGTTCGGATTCATTCGCGTCGCGGGGAACCATTACTGGCGTTTTTTGCTTACATTCGCTGCAGAATAGCTATCAGTGTAGGCATCATTGTGCAAACTTAGCTTGTCTACATAAATAGTTCTCGTGCGCAGTAATTGAGACAGATTTAGACAAGAAAGATCAGTTCTGAGCTTAGCTTTCCATAGTCATCTACGTTTAGCTTTCCGCAGCGAATGTATGCAAACAACGCGAGTAATGGCTGCCACCAAAAACGCGATTGAAACCCAAATTTCACTGTCGATAACTCCAAAACAGTAGATTTTATCAAATTTATCAAGCGATATTCGAATGAAGCATGTACAATTACATATAAATGTAAGTATTTTGGAAATTTTTAATGCGAACTGATTGCGGGTGTTACACTGCAAATTAACCAAATACAGTAGTATAATTACAACTCGCCAAAATAACCCATGAGATATAGTCATGTATTTGACTATCCAAATGTCAAATAGCTTTTTAATTTGTATATGCGGATATTAAAAAATCCCTTGCGTGTATGTGATTTTTTTTTAATACGCAGATGATTGTCTTGAAAGCGTATATCTGTATGTATTCAGCAGTAGTAGTAGTAGATGTAATACAATCAAAGGTAAATACGGCTGGCGATAATACGATAAGTTCAGCAGTTATTTTTTAAAATGCTGATAGTTATTATATAAAAACGAAAGGGAATAAAATATTATTTACATTGTTCTGACTGTTGTCCTCGTCTTTACTGTCATATTTACGACGTTTCGGTCGCTGTAATCCCCTGCCTTTTTCAGGTGATTGGAATTTCGAACTGAGTCCTTTATTTCGTCCACCGGGGTAGACTGTTCTAGTTCCACGTGCCATGCCTCTTCCGGATGTCTCAATTATCTCCCTTTAATTCAACACGTTTTTTTTGTTCACCACTGTCGTAGCCAGAACTCTTTGGGTCAAGTCAGTGGATCCAACCAACGTTTTTTATCCACTGGTTCATGTGTTTTTGAGTCCTCAACAAGTAGTAGTAATAGCTGTAAGGACATGTCAATAATGCCACTAAGATGCAAAGTGTTATTGAGTGTTAGAGAAAAACTACTGTTAAGGAGAAAGAACAAGAAAATAGAAGATAACGATTGACATTGCACTTAAATTTTTGAAAATCAAAGTTGACTAGAAAAATCAATATACTGAAAGAGATTTCCACAAGCGAGAAGTGTGTTAGAAGAAACTGTTAGCATGGAACTTACGGTTATATCTTGCCATTTTAACTGTAAAAATGATGAGACCATGCCGCCAATCTAGTACTGCGCTTAAATTCATAATGTTTAGGTATGCTGTTGTCCTCCCTCTAATGAGGTTATTGTGGACTCTTCCACTTTCTATAAAGTTAGTAGGAAAAAGTAAGCCTCGGGGAACGGTGATATAGACTGAATACTGGTCAACCGACACACACTCCCAAGTCGTGTAACACACTTCTGTTGTATTTACTGTTCAATACACTACTTATCCTCGTTCCCTCGAGGCTTATTTTTCCTACTAAAAAGAATCTACAATAGCCTCATTAGAGGGAGCACACCACGACAAGGTAACATAGAGGAAAGTGATATTTATTTCTGTTACGTACAGAAAATATCGCACAAGGCCAAAATGAGGAATGGGGGAAAAAGACGATTTTCTTTGCTTAACGTTTAACATAGCTAGCCACAAACACTGACCCAAACATACAATATTCCTTACACCAAAACAGCGCATTCTTACTTAGCTTTCTTACTACATCCACCATAATACCGCATTGTCCCTATGAAATTCCTTACTAAACTCCATATGTACAATTTATTGTCTGTAGGGGAAGGGAATATGCAAAAATTTAAAAACTAGCCCCAATGAGTATTTACAATATGAATACAAATCTATTTACAAGAAACTAAACAAAATAACGTCAGTAATAAAACCCCACCCACAAGCATTAGATGTGGCAGAAACATCAGTTAACTGGACGAAATCAATGCAGGACTATAATAATATAAAAACATTCATTCATCCCAAGTACTCACACAGACACGCACTCATTCAGACACAACAACAAATACAAAAAACACACCCGAAACGAAAGGCGGCCCGCATCCACCAGAGAACTGACATCACTGACCACCTAACGAGGGAGGGGATGGGAAATTAAACAAAGAAAAAATGGGGACAGAAGTAAAAGGGGCCATTGAGCATACATACCATAGCTAAATTAACTGAAATGAAGAAACTGAAGACACAAAAACAACCCTAAACTAACTTAATCCGGGCGGGGTTAGCCTATGTTCAACACAGGGAGAACAATATCTTGACATATAGAAAATTTAATCAGAACAATTACCATGAAAGTATTTATATAAAAGGCACAGAGAAGCTATGTTACGGTTGTAGGAAAATGACTGAAACTGAGATGCCATGTCAGGACCAATAACATTTCAGATTCTTCTTTGGATTTTATCAAGAATGTCTAAATATATGTCAGGAGCACCAAACCAGATGTGACAGCAATATTCAAAGTAATGCCGACATATCATCAAAATCTATGCCTCTTACTTTGTAACCCTCTACCTCGAGTGGTTCTTGTGCCTTGTACAAGCTGAACATTATTGTATAAAAAATATTGCAATGATTTGATCCCACATTTTTTTCTAATAAGGTCGTCTGCAACCTCAAAAAAAGAAAAAGAGGCAGTTCGCATTTCTATGTTTCTGGAGCGTCTGTTTTGCGCAAAAATGAAAACTTCCTTTCTGCTACATGAAAAAAGTGTAAGGTTTGTTGTAGAGTAGATTTTCCGCTACAAAAATATATTATCTACTAGCAGTAGAGCCCGGCGTTGCCCGGAGATGTACCAGTAAGAGATAAGTATCGACCATCATAAAGACTGAAAAATAAAA